ACAAGAACTGGACCGTGGAGGCCTGAGGCCAGGACACCAGCAGGCTGTGGTGACTGTTAGGGAGTTAGCCACCTGGACATGTTTAATGTGGAGATTCTTGGGTGCCAGGAGGAAAGAGACTCTTTACCTGTAGAATAAATGAATTTGAGAACTTCAGTGATTATTTGAGTGCTCTGAGGTTTGAACAAACTCTCACGACAGGCTACACAGCTACAGAAGAATACAGGAGACACAGGAAATCTCTGATTCAAAACAGTTTGAACTGAACAGCTGCCCAAATAGGTGCACAACCAGTGAGACTTTCTCTCTAAAACGTGCCCCACCGGGCAAGGGTAAGTTAATGCCCAAACAATAAATTCAAGTGCTCAACACCGAAACAAACAGGCAAACCAAAGCCCTTGTTGCAAAGAGGGTTAAAATGAGGGGCAGGGCCAGCTGAGGAAGATCAGTTTTAAAGGCAGACAGAACAAAAGCAACAGGAATTAGATCTGAAACAGCACAAAAGAAGGGGAGTGGACCCTTCACCTAAATTGTCCTACTTCCTTAAGAGTGTTTGTGAAAGTTGTCAAATATGTTGTATTTACATTTTTACCCTGAAATATGGTTTTTAAAAATTATGAAATGATGTTTGCAACTTTGGAAATTGAGTCACAGACTGAAAAATCACTTAGGGGAAAGGATGGAGGTAAATATCAACTAACATCCTAAGAGGAGGTGCCTGAGGCTGAGGAGGAGATGGGGAGCTGAGATTGGGGGAGATGAAGACTGAGGGACCTGACCGGTTTGGCTCAGCGGATAGAGCGTCGGCCTGCGGATTCGGGGGTCCCGGGTTCGATTCCGGTCAGGGGCATGTACCTTGGTTGCGGGCACATCCCCAGTGGGGACTGTGCAGGAGGCGGCTGATTGAAGTTCCTCTCTCATCGATGTTTCTAACTCTCTATCCCTCTCCCTTCCTCTCTGTAAAAAATCAATAAAATATATATATATTTTTAAAAAAAGACTGAGGGACACAGGGACTCTGAGGGAGAGTGGGGGGATCTTAAATCCCCAGAAGCCTTGAGCCCCTCTTAAGACCCTGACAATTTATGCAAAACAGTGCAGCTAAATTTACAAATAGTTAAATTGAACCAATATTTTGTAAACCAATACTTTGCTTAAATTCAGTGTTGTTGTGGGTGGATATCAATCAGTTGGGTTCAGAAATTGTTCTCAACAGACAGCCAAATGAAGGAGATTTTGTGGATATGAATATAATCATTTTACATGATTTTATATTGATAAGGGGAGAGCAATTAGCATGAGCTTTAAAAATGTTATTTCCCTTTGAAAATGGGTAAATAAATTAGTCACTATCCTCCCAATGGACCATCAGGCAGCCGTTAAAATCATATTTTTGCCCTAGCTGGTTTGGCTCAGTGGATAGAGCATCGTCCTGTGAAGTGAAGGGTCCCGGGTTTGATTCTGGTCAAGGGCACATGCCTCAGCTCGATCCCCAGTAGGGGGCGTGCAGGATCAATGATTCTCCTTCATCATTGATGTTTTCTCTCTCTCTCTCTCTCTCTCTCTCTCTCTCTCTATCCCTTCCTCTCTGAAATCAATAAAAATATATTTTAAAAAAATCATGTTTTCAATAATAGTTAATGATATGGTGACTCAGGATAAAATAGGTAAGTGGAAAGCAGCAAAATACAAAACTGTCTATACAAAAATAAATACCTATTTGATTATTTTTTCTTTCAGGCTGTGCTATCTCTGCCTAAAACACTCTTATTCTCTTCTTATATGGCTACTTCCATTCTGCTTAGGGTCTCAATTTAATAACTTCTCAGGAGGCCTTCCCTGACTTCACCTGACTTTAATAACTTCACCAGGGACCCCTGCTCTGTACTCACATTGAACCCTGTTCTTCCCTCATCATAGCACTTGTCGCACTGCATTGCACTCATCTTTGTGTCCCCACTGGACTATAAGTTCTAAGTGAGCGCGCCCTGCTGGTGACTATCTTATTTAGCCGCGAGTGCTTGGGGCACAGTTAACAATAAATATTTGTCAAGTCAATAAATGACAAATGAATATTTCAATATAGAGGAAAGCAACTTCTCTTGGGCAGTCTTGGGAGGGGAGCGGAGGCTGATCCGCTCAGTGTCAGGTTACGGAATGGAGGTCTCTTGCTAAGGCAGGAGGGAGAGAAGGAAAATCAGCCTAAAACCCAGCTTGAATGCCTGCTTCCGTCTGGAGTGACTGGACTGTGAGCACACATTCTTCCCGTGGCCCCTGCTTTCCTACGGAATCACTTCCTGAATCCTTCTTGGGATTCCTGTGGCAGCCACATGCACTCGTTCACTGACTGTCCTGCATGGTCCTGGTCCTTGTATGTGCGGGTCCTGTCTTCCTTGGTCTGTTTCAGCATCAGGCGGAATGCCCTACAGAGGCCGAGGGGCAGTTAGCAACTTGTCATCTGTGCTGGCAGCCAGATGACTTGGTAGCCACCTTCATGAACGCGAGGCCACAGGAAAGGAATGGGCGCGTTGCTCTTGGTCACCTAGAAGGGCTAGTCAGATCTACTAACGAGGCAAGTGGGGACTGACCTGGGGTCGAATATGCGTTTGGGGTTTCCCTCAGGCAGACATTTGGACCTGACAGTTGGTGTTACGCGCTGTTGAGTCGACTCCAGTTCCTGGCGACTTTGTGAGTGATGTTCACCACGTCCTGTCTCAACAGCCCTGCTCAGCTCCTGCAGACTCACACCTACGCCTTCTTCTATGGCAGTGATGGCGAACCTTTTGAGCTCGGCGTGTCAGCATTTTGAAAAACCCTAACTTAACTCTGGTGCCGTGTCACATATAGAAATTTTTTGATATTTGCAACCATAGTAAAACAAAGACATATTTTTGATATTTACTTTATATATTTAAATGCCATTTAACAAAGAAAAATCAACCAAAAAATGAGTTCGCGTGTCACCTCTGACACGCGTGTCATAGGTTCGCCATCACTGTTCTATGGAGTCAATTCATCTCATATTTCGTCTTCCTCTTCCTGCTGCCTTCTGTTTTGCCGGGCGTTATTGTTTCTTCCAAAGAACCCTGTCTTCTCATGATGTGCCCGAAGTAAGACAGCTTCAGTTTTGACATTTCTGCTTCCAGCGATGTTTCAGGCTTAATTTATTCAAAACCTGTCGGTTCTCGGTTCTCGGTGTAGAAATTGGAGGTCGGACAGGTTACACACAGGGTGTGGATGCAGAGCTCTACAGTGACCTCTAGTGGCGTATCTGCATAATGGAAAGAAAACTGTGAGGCCTGAAAATACAACAGAAAACAAAACAAAACACATCAGATGACAGGTTTCTGCTTCAGGCATTTCCTCCATCTTCTTTAGATTCTTACTGAAACACATGTTCAGGATCACCATCATTTTTCCCCAAGTGGTTTTTTTGTTTGTTTGTTTGTTTGTTTGTTTGTTTTTATTTAAATCTTTATTGTTCAGATTATTACATTTGTTCCTCTTTTTTTTCCCCCCCATAACTCCCCTCATCCCAGTTCCCGCCCCACCCTCCGCCCTCACTCCCCACCCACTGTCCTCATCCATAGGTGCACGATTTTTGTCCAGTCTCTTCCCGCATCTCCCACACCCCTTTCCCCCCCAGGAATAGTCAGTCCATTCCCTTTCTATGTCCCTGATTCTATTATAATCACCAGTTCATTCTGTTCATCAGATTATTTATTCACTTGATTCTTAGATTCACTTGTTGATAGATGCATATTTGTTGTTCATAATTTGTATCTTTACCTTTTTCTTCCTCTTCCTCTTCTTAAAGGATACCTTTCAGCATTTCATATAATCCTGGTTTGGTGGTGATGAACTCCTTTAGCTTTTCCTTATCTGTGAAGCTCTTTATCTGACCTTCAATTCTGAATGATAGCTTTGCTGGATAAAGTAATCTTGGTTGTAGGTTCTTGGTATTCATCACTTTGAATATTTCTTGCCACTCCCTTCTGGCCTGCAAAGTTTCTGTTGAGAAATCAGCAGACAGTCGTATGGGTATTCCCTTGTAGGTAACTGAGTTTCTTTCTCTTGCTGTTTTTAAGATTCTCTCTTTATCTTTTGCTCTTGGCATTTTAATTATGATGTGTCTTGGTGTGGTCCTCTTTGGATTCCTTTTGTTTGGGGTTCTCCGCGCTTCTTGGACCTGTAAGTCCATTTCTTTCACCAGGTGGGGGAAGTTTTCTGTCATTATTTCTTCAAATAGGTTTTCAATATCTTGCTCTCTCTCATCTTCTGGCACCCCTATAATTCTGATGTTGGTACGCTTGAAGCTGTCCCAGAGGCTCCTTACACTATCCTCGCATTTTTGGATTCTTTTTTCATTTTGCTTTTCCGGTTGGGTGTTTTTTGCTTCCTCGCATTTCAAATCATTGACTTGATTCTTGCGCTCCTCTGGTCTGCTGTCGGGAGTCTGTATAATATTCGTTATTTCAGTCCGTGTATGCTTAATTTCTAGTTGGTTCCCCAATATAAGATCGAGGGTCTCATTAGTTTTCTTGTAGATCTCATTAAGTTTATCGGCGGCTTCTAAACAGTTCTTGAGAGACCTTAAAAGTGTGGTTCTGAACTCTATATCTTCCATTGACAATTTTGTCCTGTTTTTTTGTCTCCGCATTTTGTTATGCTTCCTTGGTGCACCCCCTAGTGGTCTTTGTTCGCAGTCTTATAATTAAATCTTGATTGTTGTAGCTAATACCAGGGAGGGTTTGACCTCCAGGCCAAGTGGCTATGAGAATGAACTGTGTCAGCAGTGAGAGAACTTCTGTCCTCTAGGGAGGTGCTAATCTAGCCTTTGCCTGAGGCTATCTGGCAAATGCCTGTGTGCAGGGCTTGGGCGGGGCGGGTCGCACAGGATCAACAGGGTGGGCCGGAGAGAGCCAAGTGGTTTTTAAAAACATGTTTATTTAGTTGCCAATATTTTTAAAAAGTGTATATTAATTAAAAACCAGGGGGGATTTCATTGAAATCTAGTCCCTCTTAAATAACACGAAGACCTGTGAAGAGAGCTTGGATTTCCATGTAATGACAATCACTGGAGCTGAAGACCGGCTGTCCCTTGCGGCTTTCTTGAATAAGTTAAATCCTCCACCCGATGTCTGCAGCAGTCAGCTGAGATTACATTAAACTCTCCTAAAACCTAAAAACCGCAGTGTCTTACAGCAACTTACAGTGTCTTACAGTGCTTAAATGCCATTGTCTGTGGTGGATATAGGTTTCGGGGTCCTGAATGAAGGAGCAGCCCCCGTTTGGAATATGCTGTCCTTGCTGCAGAGGGAAAAGAAAAATGGTCACACGGAGCCAAGGCTTCGTGCTTCTGCTCACACATGGTAAATGTTGTTTCTGTTCACATTCTATTGGCCAAAGCAAATCATGGGCCAAGCTGACATCAGTGGGGCAAGGAAGTCTACTTCCTCCAAGGGGAAGTCCTGCAAGTCATATGGCCAAGGTGAGAATATAGAAAGCACTTATGGGAAGGGCAGTGAATAATTGAGAACAAGAATATAATTGGCCACATTCATTTATACTTTCTGTCTGGCTCCTTTCTGCATTGGGTTTGCAAATCCAATTTAGGTAGATATCAGTAAAAGATAAGGGACTAATCTATAGTAATTTCTTATATTTAGTTTTTATTGAGATGTAATGTACACACATTTTAAGTGTGCAACTTGTTGAGTCAGTTGCACACACCACATGCATATATACACACACACGTGTGTGTGTGTGTGTGTGTGTGTGTGTGTGTGTAACCACCACTCAGATCAGTATGCAGAACATTTTTAACACTGCCAGTAATTTCTTTCTTGCTCCTTCCCAGTCAATACCTATCCTGCATAGAGGTAACAGCTACTCTAACTTCTAACGCTGTTGAAGATCACGAGTTTCAGAAGGATTTGTTGAATCTGAGATTTCTCTGGAAGATTCCAGTGGAGAGGTAAAGTAGGAAGATGGAAGATTGAACTTGGCACTTAGAAGAGGTATCTGGACTGGAGATAGAGATGAGGCAGTTGTGAGCCTATACATAGGAGATAGTGATGGACAGGAGACAAGGGCAGGTCAATAGTGTCTTCAAGCTTGATGGACAAGCCCCAGAATATGTCTAGCCTCACCCTGGGAACTGGAGACTCAGAGGAGACCCAAGTCTATTGTCTCAACTACTGGTAAGTTGTAGGTTCCTGAAGCATCCATCTGGAGCCTTATTAAAGACTAGTAGCCTGGTGCACAAAAATTTGTGCACTCGGGGGGAGGGGTCCCTCAACCCAGCCTATGCCCTCTTGCAGTCTGGGACCCCTCGAAGGATGTCCACCTGCTGGCTTAGGCCCACTCCCTGGGGGATCGGGCCCAAGCTGGCAGTCAGACATCCCTCTGGCAGCCTGGCAGCCCTTGGGGGATGTCCACTTGCCAGCGGGGAGCAGGTCTAAGCTGCAGTCGGACATCCTTAGTGCTTCTGAGAAGGTGGGAGAGGCTCTCACCACCACCATTGTACTGGCAGCCGTCAGCCTGGCTTGTGGCTGAGCAGAGCTCCCCCTGTGGGAGTGCACTGACCACCAGGGAGCAGCTCCTGCATTGAGCGTCTGCCCCCTGGTGGTCATTGTGTGTCATAGTGACCAGTCATTCCAGTTGTTCTGCTATTAGGGTCAATTGCATATTACCCTTTTATTATATAGGATTGAGGCCTGGTGCACAGGTGGGGGCTGGCTGGTTTGCCCTGAAGGGTGTCCCGGATCAGGTGGGGGTCCTGCTGGGGTGCCTGGCCAGCCTAGGTGAGGGGCTGATGGGTGTTTGCAGGCTGGTCACACCCCCTTCAGGGTGGGGGGTCCCCACTGGGTGCCTGGCCAGTCTGGGTGAGGGGCTGATGGCTGTTTGCAGCCTGGTCAAGCCCCCTCCCCAGTGGGGATCCCCACCCATGGAGGTTTGGCTAGCCTGGGTGAGGGGCTGAGGGCCATTTTCAGGCTGGCCAAGCCCCCCGGCGACGGAAGCTCACAGCCTCTCCTTTTTTCCTTTTTTCTTTTTTTTATTCTGGGATTTATTTACCTTCTATAATTGAAATTTTGTAGCCTTGAGAGGAGCTCAGAGCTGGCCATGGCAGGCGGGAGGGAAGCCTCCTGTTCGCTCTAGCTCCGTGGCCACAGCTGGCTGAAAGCAGGTATCTGGGGTTTATTTATCTTCTATAATTGAAACTTTGTTGCTTTGAGTGGAGCTCAGAGCTGCTGCAGTAGTTGGGAAGCTTGGCTCCCTCCATCATTGGGGCAACCAAGCCTCCTGCTTGCTCCAGCTCAGTGGCTGCTGTCTGCCATCTTGGTTGGGTTAATTTACATATAGTCACTCTGATTGGCTGGTGGGCATGGCTTAAGGGGTAGCAATGGTATGGTCAATTTGCATGTTTGTCTTTTATTAGTGTAGATACCTTTTGCCTGGAATTCACCCCTTTTCTTAGAGTATCTCTCTCCTTTTCAGAGGTGGCCCACAGTAGACATATATTATGTGACCATTAATTTTGACCATGCCTGATTAGCTCCTACATGGATACCTGATACAATTTGAGCCCATCTGGGGAATGTTTTATTGAGAAATACAGATGATGGGGAACTAGAAGTTAACCTCTACAAATGATGGAGTTCTTGGGTGAATCTCAACAAAAAATTCCTGAGCTCTGTGGAACTGCCTGGGTTCCCACCCTTTTTGATGCCTGGAATCCATGAGGTACCCCGTGCCTTTTCATTAAATCTCTTGTTCTATGAAGCTATTTTGAAGTGGGTTTGGGATATTGTAACCAAAAGAGTCTTAATTAGGACTTGCCTTGATGTGTCTAATTAGGGGATCATTAACAGCATGAAGCAAAGACTGAGGCTGAGCTGAACTGGCCAGGAACCAAGGCAGGCAGCTTTACAAGTCTCCATGACAAGAGCGAAGAGTGTGGTGACTGTGCTTCCTGAAGTCATTGCAGATTATTTGGCATCAAATGACTAAAGGGCCCTTTTGTGCATGGCTAATCATGTGGGGATGTTTAGCACAATCCAATATGCCCCTTGGTCCTGCCATGGCACTCCATAAGTGAGATGTGAGCCTGCACTGTCTTTTCCAGACAAACCTTGCTATGTGTGCATGTGCGTGTGCGTGTGTGTGTGTTTTACTATCTGTCTAGTGGATAAGGGATTCAATTACCCCTTTAGCCTTAAAAAATATGCCAAAGGATGGTGCTGGCCTTCTGTGGCTTGGAACTAACTTATATTGCACAAATCTGTTTCTCATTTATGTGGTTCAGCCAAATCACCAGGGTTGTTTTTCTCCCCATCGAATGTGACAGCACAGAAGGCTGGCATCCAGGCTGGCATCCTTTTTATTGGGCATTCCACGCAGATCCTGAGCGTAGAGGGGAATATAAGACATTACTGGAAATTTTTTGATGTCTGTCTTTATAGGACAGAAGCTCTCAGAATAAATAATGATGGAAGAAGGCATTTTCAAATACCCAATTAATTTCTGTTACTAGACTCACATTCTATTAGCTGGTGTGATTCCCTAAAGGAGTCTTATGGTGATGTTTCTAATGCACTGCCTTCAATACATAATTGTGACTGATGCAAGATAGAGTTTAAAAGAATATGAAAGAAAATACTATGCCCTAATAAGGTAAACAAGCGTTCTGGAATGTAATACTTCCAGAGAACTGAGGGATTTATTTGTTTAAATTTTATATATAGAGTGTCCCCCAAAAAGTATACACACTCTTTGAATAATTATAAAGGCAGTGTTTATCAAAATACATTTCATTTTCAAAATTGAGCTATCAACTGTTAAAGTATATATGCATTTTTGGGGGGAGACATGCTGTATTATGATGATTCTGTAAAAGGCCATAGCTAGTAAAAAATGAGAACCTAGACATAACCTAAAAGTTATTTCTTAAAAAGAGACACCTAGCCCTAACCGGTTTGGCTCAGTGGATAGAGCATTGGCCTGCGGACTGAAGAGTACCAGGTTCAATTCCGGTCAAGGGCATGTACCTTGGTGGCGGGCACATCCCCAGTAGGGAGATGTGTAGGAGGCAGCTGATGGATGTTTCTCTCTCATCGATGTTTCTAACTCTCTATTCCCTCTCCCTCCCTCTCTGTAAAAAATCAATAAAATAAATTAAAAAAAGAGACACCTAATGGACGTCATTATTTATCTGGGGAGAACATGGAAGTACAACATAAATGTCTCATTTAGTAAAGAAATATGACTTTGATTCTCTACACAGTCTTTGCCCTGGGTGAGCAGGGCTGAAGAGATACCCATGCATCTGCCACAGGGGATTTTATGTGGAGGGACTCAAACACAGTACATGGTTTGAGCTGGTTCTTCTTAACCAGCCCCTGGAGAAACGGTCCTTTAAAACCCTTTTCCTGGATCCCTCAAGCTACTTTATTTATTTACTAGAGGCCCAATGCACGAAATTCGTGCAGGAGTAGGCCTTCCTTCCCCTGGCTGCTGGCACTGGCTTCCCTCTGGCACCTGGGACCCGGGCTTCTCTCGCAGCCCTGACTTTGTCCTGAAGGTCATCTGGAAGGACGTCCAGTCTAACTAGCATATTACACTTTTATTACTATAGATTTATTTATTTATTCATTTTTATTTTTTGGCTCCCGTTAGCTAGCATTGATTCATTTTGCTTGCAACCACATAATCCTACCTAATACAATAGAAGGCACACAGCAGAGAGAAGTAGCCCGGGGTTCACCATCTGAGTCGATGCCACACCTGAGGACCAGGATGCACAGCTTCAGCCTGCATCCTCTCCAGGGGTGGGCAAACTTTTTGACTCGAGGGCCACAATGGGTTCTTAAACTGGACTCAGAAGAAGGAGCTGCGGCCGTGTTTCCCGACGTTGCCATGTTAACACTGCTGCTGGTGAAGGAGCGGAGGGGAGAGCAAGAGAACCCTCCGCTCTTTCGGCTCCGCGGGCCGGATAGAACAGCCGAACGGGCCGGATCCGGCCCACGGGCCGTAGTTTGCCCACACCTGCTCTAACCAGTGGTTCTCAACCTTCTGGCCCTTTAAATACAGTTCCTCATGTTGTGACCCAACCATAAAATTATTTTCGTTGCTACTTCATAACTATAAGGTTGCTACTGTTATGAATCGTAATGTAAATATCTGATATGCAGGATGGTCTTAGGCGACCCCTGTGAAAGGGTCGTTCGACCGCCAAAGGGGTCGCGACCCACAGGTTGAGAACCGCTGCAACCTGAGCCTGGGTAGCTGTGGCATCCTGGTCTTTGTGCTGGGGGAAGGCGAAGGAGCCAGGCTGGGCAGCCCCTCTCTTTCTGGAGGCCGTGCTTCTGCTTTAGTCACCTCACTTTGGGGCAATGCCCCAGTTTCTATTGGAGCTATAGAGGCCAGCAGTGCCTTGAGAGTGTGACTTGAGAGCAAGGCAAGGGTCTGAACCTTGTAACACATTCTTCGACATCACCAAATGATGCCCCAACTGCAAAGACCCGGCATGCATGCATTGCAGTGTCTTTCAATCTTTTTTTTAAAAAGATATATATTTTTATTGGATTCAGAAAGGAAGGGAGAGGGAGGGAGAGAGAGATAGAAACATCAATGAGAATCATTGATCAGCTGCCTTCTGCACGCCCCCTACTGGGGAGGGAGCCTGCAACTGGGTTATGTGCTCTGACCTGGAATCAAACCGTGAGCCCCTGGTTCATAGGTCAGTGCTCAACCACTGAACCACGTCGGCCGGGCTCTTTCAATCTATTTAGCTCATGTCACTCATCCCTTCCATGTTTCCTTAGTTTTAATAAACCCAAAAGATGACTGATTTTTACTTTCTGTATTTGGTATTAAGAAACAAGGGTATGTGGACATGTTTTTAAAAAATGACAGTCTCATGATAGCCAGCATTGATTTAATACATCTTCCTGGGAGGGGGCTGAGTGTGCAGGATGGTTGCTGAATACAGTACATCTGTTAGACAGTGTGAACCCAGAAAGCAGCATAGCCAGGAAATTAATGTACACAGTCGGAAAGCATTTCAGAATGTGCTACCCTTACTCTGATAACTGCGAAAACAGATGGCCCTGCTTATCCTTACATTGCAAAGTTTACCTGCGCATTATTTATCTTATAAAAAGAAGAAAAAGAGAACTGCATATTTTTCTGTTGAATGCAGAAGCCATAAAAATAAAATTGTCTTCAACAAACACTCTCCATATGCGACCTTCAGCTGATAGCTAGTGAATGGATACTTTATGTAAGATTAGCACTAGCTGCTGATGGGGGAACCATATATCTACATGTGTTTACAAAACAGAGCTCCTTGGCCTCTGATAGCTCCCTACAAATTTATATATTTTTTCAAGCGGCATAATCTGGAATTAATGGATAACGGCTGTCATGCTGCTCACGCACAACATTTTGGATTATTCTTGGTTCCCTCTTCAGCCACTGGCCCTTCGAGAGCACTGAGGTTTGGCTGTGTACACAGCTTGTCACAGAGCTCCCAGCTCACCACATGCTCCCTTTGGACGACACTATAAATGTGTCTAGGTGAACATCTCTCTCTTCCAGAATTACTCGGAAATTTGAGACTATGTATTGAAAACCAAATTGTTGTGCATATTTTTTGAACCTGAAATTTTATTTCTAAGACTTTATCTTAATGCCATCATACCAGAAGGGCTTAAAGACGTAGCTTCAAGGATAATAGAAAAAAGTAAAAACAATCTCAATAGCCAATGACAGGGAAATGTTTAAAATAAACTATAATGAAATAGTAAATGGCCAGTTAAAATAATATGGTAGAAGGACATGAAAAGATACTCACAATATACTGTTAAAAAGTACAAGTTGCAAAATAGTGTATTAGTTTAATATGCTATTAAAAGTACAAGTAGCAAAAATAAGTGTCCTGGGTGATTTTTTTTTTGTGGAGAAATACTTTTTGTCATGTTGGGCACCTGCATGTAAGTGCATGAAAACAAGACCTGAAAGAGTATACTCTAAAATAATGATATTTTGTCCTTCTTTTGTTTATTGAATATTCTACTATGATACTACATTGGTGTTTATTAATAAGAGAATTCAATTACAGTCATTTAGAAGCTGGGTAGAAAATTACCTAAACAAGTCTATAATTTCTGACTTCGGAAGATTCCTCTCTTCTAGAAAAACAAAACAAAATGTGGTAAGTTTGTTCTCAGTTTTGATCACTAGAGGTCACCAAAGGCATAAAAATTATTAGTAATTTTTCTATGGTCTTACTTTGAGTCACAGAGGGATGTTTCTGGCCCCTCTTTAGGCAGTTTTGAAGCAGTTACGGGAAGACTGCTTGCTGCTTAGTCTTAAGGGGAGTAAACTGTTTGGACTAGTTTTTTTCTAACATTAAATATTCCCTGGAACAGGCAGCCATCTATCTATGGGACTATTCAAAACAGATGGGTGTTTCTGGAGAATGTGATTTATTTCCTCCTCTGATACCAAAGAGCCTTATTGGCCGATACCCGGTGAATGTGAGTTCTGAGTGAAGTTGTTGAGACAGAACCACAGAACACCCAGCAGCAGCACACACCGTTTCAAATGAAACAGCATGGACCATTTCAAGGAAAAAACGCCGCGCCTTTCCTGGTAACATGTGTGGTGTATGAGGGCTTCAGTGAAGCAGAACATTCAAGAACACCCATTGCATCTTCTGAATAACAGGCCACACTACCTTTTCGTATGTGAATAATAATTCTGCATTTTTAGAATTCAACATAAGCCAAGATCCCAGACCCTAAAATTAGGGAGAGGCAGGGAAGATTAAAAAACTAGATTGGAATCCTGCAAATATTCAAAGAAACGATCTCACTCCAAAGGGTTCATCAAGCAGAGAAAGAAATCTATAATAATAAAAGCATAATATGCTAATTAGGCCTGACAGCCTGACGACCTTCTGGACGTCCTTCCGGACGACCTTCCAGATGAAGCTGGGGCTGCAAGGGCCGAGCCCCTTGCACGAATTTTGTGCATCGGGCCTCTAGTATATAATAATTTCAATGCTCATGCTTTAGGGAGGTGTATTTATGTTATAAGATGAGGTTGCTGTAATTAAACAAGATACAGCGTGTGGAAGGTGTCATTTGTTAGGTCAAAGAATTCAACATAAGCCAAGGGCAAAGATACAATAGGTGAGTAGACTCATCTTTTCAATGTTTCAAACACCAATAGATAATGAGTTACCTGGCCATGTAGCTCAGCCTGTGTTTGAATCTGTCTTCCGAAGAAACAAAGCAAATCATTCTTTTCCATAACAATTCCCGGTGCTTAGATACCTGACAAATCCAAGGTCAAGACTTTAGTACAAGCCATAAACTAAGAGATTTCAAGCCAATATCAATGTGACACGTTTTGCATTTGGACTTGCTCCTTATTCAGTGGACTTTATTTGACTTTGACCTTAGTTAACTTTGAAGTATTCAAGGTTCCCACTTTCCATAGAGTTGTGTGTGTGTGTGTGTGTGTTTAAGTTAAATCAGATAGGTAGGCAAAGGAAATCTAAACCTCAAAGGAAATGAAAACAACTAGATACAGTCAGTTATATGTTTTCACTGCTTTGTTTAAGGTAGCGCATTGCTGTACTTAAAACACTTCACATCAGTGAGTTATTTATTAAGTTGTAAATAAAAGTCACCTATTCCTCTGTATCTTAGAAGAGACATTGGGAAACAGGTTGTTGGGAACCTGTTGTATGAAAAGTTTAGTTAAATGCTAAACTACAGAATGTTGTAAATGATGACCTAAAAACTATTGCCACCAAGTAGTTGTTAACTTAAAGGAAATATTTATATAGGAATTCTAATATTGGAGATATAATATCTGAAAATTGGCTCTTTTATGGAATTTTACAGACTGTGTATTCCAAAGTCTACTAGAAACTTGGATTTGCA